AAGGGAAACCCTGGAGCCCTGGGCCAGATCCCAGATCTCCCCCGACACCCGGGACCGCTTTCCCAGACCTCGATCGATTCGAGCCCTGGAGGCTTCGAAACCCCTGGCCACCCAGTCTCCCGGGCTCCTGGGACCGATCTTCCTCAGAATCTCCTGGTGTCCAGGATCGCTCTCATCAAGAATCAGGTGGGATCTCTGAGGCCCAGTCGGGTCTTGCGAGGGGTGATCTTCTTGGCCCTCTCATTTTGTTTCTGCAACGCTAGCGTCTGGCGAAGCCGCCTGGCGCCCGTGAGACGCGAAGTTGCTGTCGTACGCGATGCCAACAGCTGGGGCGTCGAGCCGCTCCTCGATCATGTAGTGAGTCTCTCTCTGAGGCTCAGGCTGGGCGTCGAGCTGCCCATCCGAAATGTAGTGGTCTGATGCCTGATGAACGGGATCCCCTAGTGATCGTCCGTCTCGTCCAGCTTGCCCTTGATACCCTCGGTCAGAGCCCGGATGGCTCCGATCATGTTCTCCATCTGAAGGTTCCGAACGTCCCTGTCCTCGAGCATCATCTGCCGCATGATCTCCAGGTCGGAGGCCCTCTGAGTTGGAGCTGGCTTCGGGGGAGGCCCTCTCAGCTCGAGGTCCCACTCGGCCTGGCTGTGCCCTGGAGGAGCCTTCGCGGGCGCTGCCTTCCTCGCCGTGGGAGCCCCTGAGCTCGCGCTGCCCGACCTCCTGCTCCCGTGGTTCGGCGCCCAGTCCACTCCCATCGGTGGCATCTTGAGCTTGAGCTTCGGCGCCGATCCCAGACTGCCCTCCTCGTAGCAGAGATCCGAAACTGGTCCCGCTGGAACCGACCTGGCAAGATGAAGAGGCGGGCGATCTCCTGGAACCATCTCTTCCAGCTCGTCCTTCTTGATCCGCTGCTCCTGCTTGGCCCTCTTCTTGAGGTCCCTCTGCCAGCGGTTCTCCTCGATCTACTCCTTGGTGAAGCGAACCATGGACAGTGGCTTGCCGCATTTCCTGCACTTGGAGCACCTCGCATACTGGTTGACGCCGTGCCAGATCGCGCTCTGAGGATGCTGGCAGCCCTCCTGGCCCACGATCTGCGCCTCCAGCCGTCCTGCTCGAGGCGCCACCACAGCCAACAACCTCGCGGCGGCGCGCGCCCTCAGGCACATGAGCATCTTGATGACGAACCTCCTCCAGCACCGGACCGCCGGCACGAGGATGAAACTGCCCTCGTAGAAGAGCTCGATCTCCGCCTCCGACATCGCCTCCTCCTCGTACTGGAAGCCGCGCAGTACTCCGTCTGTCCACGGATCCGGAGGCATGTCCCAGTTCTGCTCCATTTCGCTGTCCTCGTCGGTCAGCTCCTGGATGGACGTGAGCCTCTCGTCCTCGGAGTCCGGACTGATCGCCGCTGCTCGGCGGCCGGCCTTGTGCCTCAAGGCTCTCAGAGTGCGGGTGGCCTTGATCACCTTCGCCATCGTAAGCTGGCTTCTGGATGGAATCGAGCTGGCTAGAGCTGACGGGCCATCTTGAGCCGAGAGTCGCTCCGGTGATTGGGTTGGCCCCTTTCCTGTCTGTCGTTTCTCCTGTCCGCCGAGACTCCCAAGACTCCCCGGGACAAGCAGAGGAAGGACCTACGCTGGAAAGACTAGAGCCCTCAACATCAGAAACTCGAGCCCCCTCACTGTCCTGGCTCTCCTGGAGCCTGAAGTCCGTGTAGCCGATCCAGCGGCCGGTCTCGTACGAAACGGGGCCCTCCCTCCAGTCGAACTCGATGCTCTCGACCACGTCGCGATCCGGGTCCGAACCGATCCTCTGGCAAGTCATCACCGCGCAGCTGATCAATTTCTCTGGGGGTACTGGCAAGTCATCCGTCTCGCTCGGAATGAAACTGTCCTTCCTGGGGTTCATGTGGATCCTCCTCAAGGTGTCGCCGATCCTGACCCAGCAGTCAGACAGTGACCTCGAGGTCTCGACGAAGCTGACCTGCTTTCTCACGAAGGGGGGAAACTTGTCGGCAATTCTCTTGTCCAGCTTGAAGTTCTTCGGCTCGCAACCGATCAGCGAGATTGCCCTGTGTCCCGACGGCAGCCCAATCATAGGCACTACTTGTTTCTGGTCGCTGTCACCGACCCTGAGCTCGTTGGCCTCCAGATCAACTACGGCGTTCATGTAGTCTAGGAGCCTGGCCGGCAGCAAAGCCGGACAAGGATGAGGTAGGATGAGGAACTCCACCACGCCTCAGTTGTAGAAGGACACCGGAACCAACGCCTTGCCCACTGGTGCGACACGTCCACCCACTCCGTGAGCGGGAGGCAGCTTGTCCAAGCCCGTCTTCACGATCTGCACCTCGAAGCCCTTGGCGGCGAAAGCCTCGACCATCTTGTCGATGTTCGGGGTGCCGATGAGGGCTTGACCAGCTGCAGTGTCCACGAGGGCCATGTCCCCCATGATCTGCAAGGTCAGCTCGCCCCCCTCGGACCCCACGAAGATGTCCAGCATGAACGTCGCAGACGTCGCCCAGGTCGTCCCTGAAGTTCCCGATGGATCCGACTCCACCAGGTCAAAGAAGAACGAGCCCGTCTTGGCGTTCTTCGAGCCCTGAGCCTCTGCTTTCAGCCTGTCGCTCTTGCTGCGAAACGGCTTCCGGCAGTCCTCGCGCCAGTGACCACGCTCGCCGCAATTTGAGCAACGCGATCTCTTCTTGAAGTCATCTCTCGTCACTTTCTTGGCTCTGCCATCCGCGCGTCTGCGATCGAAGAAGTCGCGATCGAGCCTCTTCGCGTTCTTCAGCTGCTTGGACTCCTGCCACGTTCGACGGCGTTGTGGAGCCGTCGTCTCGCCAAACGCCTGCACTATCTGGTCCTCGTCCAGGTCTTGCTCGTCCAGAGCCACCAATATCACGTTCAGCTCGTCCTCGTCGAACTCGGCCTCATACAAGCCGCAGATGCCGCACTCGTCGTCGTCCAGGTCTGACCCGACGTGGTAGGTTCTTGCCGTCGAAATTGTTGGAGTCGGCAGCGTGTTCTTCTCTACAACGTCGAGCTCCAACAAGGCCCGCTTCACTGCAGCAGCACTCTTGTCGGAGCCCATGATCGTTCTCAGGTTGATCTTGTTCTGGGCGCTGAGCATCGCGCCTTCTTCCAGGTATCGGGCCAACACAGCGTCTGGAAGAGTCAACCCGTATCGGGCCGCAGTAGCCACCTGCTGATCTCTTCGAACGACGTAGTCGGTGAGACTTTCTCCCTTGTGCAGCCCGTAGTCGAAGAGTGCCTTGTTGTGTGCCTCTCTCTCCTTGTCTCCTGGGCGTTCTCCGTTGAGTAATTCAAGATGGCTGACAAGCCTGCTGAGACCAGATGAATGATCCAGATCTTGTCGCACGCCATCAAACTTGCCCTGCAGGTCAATCGGCAGGGTCTCTAGTACACGTCCTGCTCGGGCCTCTTCCGCGTAGCCTGTGCGCCTCTCCCGGGAGCGCAAGTTGGCCACGTAGATCTTCAGGTGCTCCATCCCGGGCCACGCTGGCGGCGCCGAGAAGTCGCGGCTGGGCTGGTCTCGCTTGACAGGCCAGAGTGCTGTTCGACTGTCCCACCAGTCATCGCACTCCCAATCCCATCCTGTCTCGTCTGACCAGGACCAGCCTCTCCAGGACCACCACCCTCGTCCCCGGGTCGAGTCCTGTTCTCCCGTGGTGTCGGTCTGGTCTCTCGTGCCGTCTTGGAAGCCTGACACGGCCTCGGCAGCCCTTGGAGCCTCTGCAACATCCCTGTGCTCTCCCTCTACGGCCTCGTCCACGCTCTGCTACCACTGTTGGAAGACATGAGAGCGACAAGGATGCATGGAATGCAAAGAGATCTTTTCAGTCGGCCCCGGAGGTCCCGGGCAGTACACACGCTCCTCGTGCGCGCACGCATCTAAGCCAAAATGGCTGTGGCAAACCCATCAGCAATCCTACCTGTTCCAAAGAGCATTGGGGGTGGGGTGGAGATACACGACAGGATTAGAAGAGAAATCTGCATACCCTTTAACTTTCGAAGGCCGCGCGGATTTCTTGGAATCGCGCTGGTCGGCGCCAGAAACGCCGCCAAGGAGGTACAGCGCCGATCTGGGAAACCCGCGCGGACCTCCGAAATTGCGTGCCCATGTCGATCTTTTAAATCGAAAGATGTCAGGTGTGGTGTAGCGCAGCTTGGCCTTGTCTCGAAAGGGGCAATGCTAGCTGGAATCGGCAGTGCATCACCAATAGATCGGCAATATGCACGCGATAGCGAACCCGCACGCTCCTGGGCGGGGGGGGGCTACCGGGTCCTGATCGGCGATGAATGGGGGATTGGGGGTCGAAGTGTCGATCACTGAGCCTAAAGGTAGAGACACACGATAAGAAATCTTGCTGGAAGAAACATAGAGGCACATTCTTCGTCAAACTTTGAGCCTCCTGATGTGCCACCAGGGCTTCTGTGCTCGGGGAGAAGAACCTTCCGCGGGGCACCTGCTGGCAGGCTGGCTTCTCATTTGGCAAGCCTACTGCATCCACCCCACAACGTTGCCCCTGAGCGACGCACCATGCCCGATTGTGCATAACATGACGGGGTCCTTGTTGGAGCTCAAGATCCGCGATGGCACGCGCCCGCGGATAGAAAAGACGCCATCGCAATGGACAGGGATGGGCGGGAAGGGCAAGATGTCAGATGCGGCGCGGCGCGAGCGCACCTACAGCTTACGGTGGGGGCGTTCGAGTGATATCCATGGCCATGGCCAAGCCTCCTTTGGCGCTCTACTGGCTTTCAGAACCTGAATTCGTTATCCCAGGGCTCCTTGTCCAAGGCCCTCACTATCCCATGAGCTGCGAGGCCGGGCAAGGAGGACCGGCAGCAGCGAAGAACAGGGGCACCCCCAGGCCAGTGCAACAGCGACGGCGGCGGACCCCACCGTGCCATCCCCCCCGCTCTGCTCCCCACGGCCCACCCGCGGCCTGACCTTTCGGCGCGCGCGCGCGGCTGGCCCACGATTCCCAGGCCCCGGGCGCATGCCCGGCGCACGACCGCGTCGGTGATCAGCTCGCTGGAGTGGGAGAGGACGAATTCCAGGGTGGTCGGAACCTCTCGGCGAAGACGAAGCCATGACAGGGACAGCATCGGACAGGGATGAACAGGGGGTCTCTGCAATGCGGCGCTTCTGGCAGATGTGCCCGGCGCCGCGGCCTTCCCAGAACGTCCCAGGACACTTTTGAGAGCGGCCTCTGGACTGAGGGGCGGGCGGGGGGGGCCTAAGAGCGCCCCAGGACGCTCTAAGAGGGGCGGGGGGGGGGGGGGTCACGACCTCCCCAGACGAGCAGCCTCAGACCCCCCCCCCAGACCAGCCATGAAAGGGCGGCCTTTTGCCCAGACCCCCCTAGGAACCCTCCAGGACAGATCGAGCCAGACCGCCCCCCAAATCAGACCCCTCCCCGTTAGTTTGAATCGCGGATCTCCAACAAAAATGATCTGACACAGATGTGCCCTTGTCCAAGCCCCCCCCGACAGGCCGCGCGCCACAAGCGGGCGGCGCCAGGGGAGGCCGTCGAAGGAGGTCACTGAAGGCAGCACTTGTAGCCCCAGCAAAAATGCCTTCCATCATGATGGCCTTCGGATTTGCTCTGCCTTCGCTGAGAACGCCTTACCCTCAGGAGGGGCCCCTCAGAGGCGCCTGGGGACTTCCGAGGGAGGCTCTGGCCGCTTCTGGGAAGGCCCCTGCCTCCTGGGGAGGCCCCCCCCCCTGCACTCTTGGAGAGCCGCTCTGTGCGCGCCGCCCTGCCTCGGCGGCGGGCAATTTCCCCACGCAGTCTCGGCGGCTCGAAAAAAAAGGTTGAGACCACCGGTTCGTGTCGCAGCCTTCGGCCTCGGGGGGCTGGTTCCGTGCCCCGGGGCCGACAAGACACGCCCCCGATGGGCGTGCGCGCCCAGCAGCGTACACGAATGCGCCCCCCAGTTCGAGATCCGCCCCCGTGCCACGAGCGCTCGCGTACGGCGCCCTCTCGCCACGCATGACATGGATTCGTGTTTTCGTGCATCTTTTGCTCGCGCGCGCCACACACTCCAGGGTGGTCTGGATATCGGCGGGCACTCCCTTCCGGGCGTCGACTGGCCACCTCACCGACCCTGGCCAGACCTATCCTGGGGCCCAGGGCCGTCTTTCTCCCTCAGCTCGGAAGCCCAGAGCGGACGGAGGCGCCCACAGGAACTACACGAATACCTGTGAATGCGCCCACGAATTTCGCGACCTGGTGTCGCGAAAGCTAGTCTAACGCGACAGCTCGTAACCCACGTGGATTCGTGTGCGGTGTGCGCGTGCTCGCATACGTCACGACCTCCAAGGTGGTCGGGGAGGGCGCGCCGCTGGATGCCTCCAGGGGGGGGGGGTCCGGCACCCCCCCATCCCCTCCTGTTCCCGGTCCGCCGTCGGCGGAACGCCCCCCCCCCCGGACCGAGTGTAGGAAAGTACAACCAACTAAGACGGACTCCAACCACCTCTCGGCGACTACAATGGGTGCGGTTTGCGAAGGGTGCTGTTTGTCTCGTGTCATATCTGCCTCTCCCACCCCCGGGAAACGGATGACACTGCCACTCAATGCGACCGAATCACATGACACTGTCGCTCCTTCTAATACAGTGGAGCAAGCATCGAAGATGACAGTGTCGCCCGAAACGACGACAACTATGACAATGTCCCTCACAAAGGCCCCGGAAATGCCGCCACAAAGCAACTCGCAAACCGCACCCCGGCGTAACCGCACCGGTTGTAGTCGCCGAACTTCGGTCCCAATCCCAACCATAGGGTAGCAATTACAACCGGTTTTCAAGCCTTTTATAACTTGTTATAGGTTTCCTAGGGGCTCCTCAGAGACTCCTTACAGGATCCTTAGAAGCCCCTTCGAAGCTCCTAGGAATATCCTGATCAGCTTCCTGGAAGCTCCTGAGGAGCGTCTGAAGGCTTCTTAGAAGAAGCTCCTTAGACGTTCCTCAGAAACTCCCTAGACGCTCCTCAGAAGCTCCTTGGAAGCTCCTTAGAGGCGCTCCTTCTAATCTCCTTAGACGCTCTTTAGAAGTTTCTTAGACGCTCCGCAAAAATTCCTTAAAAGGCTCCTTAGGAGCTCCTTGGAGGCTCCTTAGAAGCTTCTTAGAGTCTCCTCCTTAGAATCTCCTGAGAGGCTCCGTAGAAGCTCCTAAGGGGCTTCTCAGAAGCTCCTTAAAAGGCTCCGTAGGAGCTCCTTGGAGGCTCCTTCAAAGCCCCCCAGAGGCTCCTTAGAAGCTCTATAGAGGCTCCTTAGCGGCTCCTGAGAGGCTCCTTTGAGGCTCCCTCGAAGCCCCCCAGACGCTCCTTTGAGACTCCATAGAAGCTCCGTAGAATCTGCTTAGAAACTCCGTACAGGAACTGCAAGGATGTCTGGAGGATGTCCGGAAGATTTCTGGAGGATTGCACTTGAGGGTTTCTGAAGGATCTCTGGAAGATTGCTGGTGGATGTCTGAAGAATTCCCGAACGACTTCCGAAGACAAAAAATGGGGACCCCTGGAGGAGGAGGAGGAGGAGGAGGAGGAGGAGGAGGAGGAGGAGGAGGAGGAGGAGGAGGGAAGAGGTAGGAACGGAGGCAGGAAGGAACAGCCGAGGACAACGATAATGATACAATGGGTTTTCGATGCGTTTTTGTGCGAAAAGTGTGTAGATACGTGTTGTGCATACATGTTGTGTCGCATATATGTTATTGCTTTGAGGTGATTCGTGTTGTTGCAAGTTGTTGTCGTACAAACACCACAACTTCCAAATCCCAGAAGTAAGCTGCTACCAAGTCCACCCGGGGCACTCATGTTGACTCTCAGAATGCATGTGCACCCTTAAGACGTTCAGTCGATGTCTGGATCGTATACAAAATGCGGTGCAAAAAGAAATCCGATTGTAGGCCCAAGATGGCCAGTTGTAGTTGGTACCAGTTGGTTTTTTGGCCAGTTGAGAAGTGGCCCGGTCGATTGAAATTGGTACCAATCGTTTGGGATTGGTCCGACATGCGGTTCGACCTCCCCCACCCCCTCCTTTGTATTCGAAATTTGAACACCCCCCCCTCCCCCGGGTAAGGGGCGGGGTTAAGACAGAGGAAAAGACTTTCTGTGGCCCGCCAGGGCTTTCTGTGGCCCGTTGGGGCTTGATTTGGCCCCGTTGAGCTTTTCTGTGGCCTGGTGGCCCCGGTGGACCCAATGGGGCTTTCTGTGGCCCAGCCGCCGCTTGTGAACACCATGCCCCCCGAAAGCCATATGACGCACTTCCACTTCAATCTTAGAGACACGGAGACGACACGCACTGAAACCTTGGAGACACAGACACGACACGCACTTTAAACCTTAGAGACACAGACGCGACACGCACTTAAACCTCGGAGACATCGAGACGACACGCACTTCAACCTTAGAACGGTTGTGTTCCGAAGGTCACCTCAAATAGGTTATGCGATGAGTTCGATAAGTCCTATCTCAAAGTTTGTCACATCGTGGATATAATCGTATGTCGCAGCTGCGGCCTTATCCCAAGATGGGGATCCTTAAGAGTCCCTAGATCTCGTCGGTCCTGGGAACTCGTTGGGGATCCTCAAGATCCCCTGGAAATCCGAATCCGAAAAAAACCTTGGGGATCTCAAGGTATCCCCAGGAATCCCGAAGAATCCGTAAGACCCCTTAGGAATTATTTGGTATCCATGGGATTCCCCAAGAGCCCGTAGGACTCCCTCGGAATCCTGAAAGGAATCCTTTGGAATCCTTTGGGATCTTTCGGGCTCCTTGGGAATCCCCACGTGTCCCTGGGGATCTTTAGGAATCCTCGAGAATCTTTGGGGGTCCTGGTGAATCCCGCGGGATCATGAGGCAGACCCGCGGGATCCTTTGGAACTCTGCGAAACCCCAATCAACCCTGCGGAATCCTGAGTAAACGCGTGGAACCTAAAGCCATCCAAAAGAACCGCGGGGCATCCCAAGGAACCCAAACGAATCCAGAGTGTTTGTTGATAATTGTATGTGTGTATATACATACGGAGACTGAGTTCACCTCTAGGAATCCGGAGGGATCCTCGGGAATGCCCAGGAATCCGTAGGAATCTTCAGGGGGCCGAAGGGATCCTTAGGAATCCCTGGGAGCCCATCGGGCAAAACACGCAATCGAACTGACCAGCGTGACATAAAGATGCCGAACATGATATAGAAATGCCCAGCAAGAGTTGAAACAAAAACAACACAAACAACAACTATCAAACACGTAATGCAAATGCCCAACGTGAACTAAACATACCAAGCATGACAAACATGCCCCAAACTAATCGGGAATGCCCAATACGGAAAGGACATCTCAGACACGCAAAATACATGCACAATGTGAAATAGACATTCCAAACATCACATAGAAAAGCACAGCCTGATCAACAAATGCCCTGAACGAACAAGCATTACGAACCACGCAATCGGGTTGTCCAACGTGAAATGGGAAAGCCAAGCATGACATATAAACGCACACGGTTGACTAAAAGACATAAAAGCAACTACACATATCAAAGCCACAATAGAAATGCCCAGCGTGAGCCCGAAATGCCCAACGTGACATAAAAACATGCCACATCTGAAATGCCCAACACGAAATAAAGCACGCCCAACGTGAATGGAAGAAATGCCCAACACGAAACCATATCAGACACGCAATATAAATGTCAAACGTGAAATCGAAATGCTAAGCGTGCAACTGGAATGACCGGCAGGAATAAAGCATGTCCAACTCGAGTTAAATCCGCCGATCCAGCGTGTGAGTTTCAAAGACCCTCAGATATAGCCTGAGCCTCAGTTCTTCAGTTCTTGAGCTTCAGCTCTGCTGGGGGGGGGGGCCGGGGGGGCTCTGCGGGGTAGGGGGGGGGGTCCGAGCCAATTTTGGTGGCAAAATAAAAACTCCAGCTCACTCCGGGTCGGCCCCTCGCTCCGGAGAGCTCGAACGCGGGCTCATAAAAAACCCAGCGGCCGCCCAGACGGCCCAAGAGGGCCCTGAGTGGCCGAAACATCGCTCCAAGACGCCCAATATGTTCCTCAGACGGCTCCA